AAAGTGATAAGCATGTTGGTGTGTAGGAGAAGCTGTGCTGTTTACCACTGGACTTTAGACAGGAGCTGCTGCAAAGAACCCCACGCTTTTCCTTATATTCTGTTTACTTACGACCCCTTCAGTGTTGCCTCTGAAATTGCACAGACACCAGTGACCACACCCTCAGTTTGACTCAGGGGGGGTTGCTGGCTATTCACAGCTTTGGAAAATCTGATCACATAGGATAAGTATGTACCTAACTTTAGGCTCCTATTTCTGGGATTTTTGACCAGTAATAATTATGTAGCCCACTTGAAAGGGGATCTGATTTTTAATTCAAGCCGGTTTCACATCCTTGATACCTGTGATGTCCTTACCTTACCAGCTCCCTAGTTGTTCTCAAGTCTTCCAGGATGAACGGGATATACAAGTGTCCAGTGGTCCGGTGCCTGCCTGTCACTGCATCTGGGGAATAGCCCTGTCTGATCTGACACCACTTCTCTCTCACCTGTGCTGCAGCCTTGTTCACGTTCCAGGAGTCGTGGTGCTGCCTCTACGTGACTACCCCCTCCAGCCAGGGTGCTATGTGGTTTCTCCCTTCCAAAGTCTCTCAGGACTGGATCACTAGCTGTAGTTCCCAGCAGTCCTCCGTCCAGTTCAAGTTTGTCACTTCCCCCGTGGCAGGCAGGAAACCTGGGCCATTCACCCACCAACCACTCCAAGTTCCTGCCAAAGTCAGCTCCATCCCAAAATCCTGCTATTTCCCAGGGCTGCTTTCTATTCTACCTCTATCAGGCTTCTTCCATCCATCACCCCGAGGGCCAGGAGTCCTGGACATTTACTCCTTCCCTGGGTTTACTAAGTTTCCCTCTCTAAATCCAGAGACCCACTAGCTTCCTTGCTGCACTCCTTCTGCCCTTTCTTCCTGGCCTTACACCAGTCCTGCCTACTTCTGCCCATTTGGGCTCCATTTTCTGTAAGTGTTTACCTATCGAGCTTAAGGATCCTTCAGGTGTGGACAATCAGGTTGCTTAATAGCCCCTCCTTTCTCCAGCCTTTTCTCTGGGCATCTGGTAAAGTAATAAGTAGGAAGAAAAAGCTTATTACACACATAAGAGTGTGAAAACATTTCAATGCCTTCTCATGGCATCTTTTAAAATCTAGGATGAACTACTGGCTTTAGTGGACACACTGTTGCTGCACTTTGGCAATGGGAACAGCATAGGGCCAGCCTATTGCAAGTCAGACACAATGAAACCCTCCCAGAAACTCATGACTCCTTGGGAAAGCTGATATGAGAAATTCTTTCACTGATGAAAATGTAGTGCCTTCGACCTATCAAGCTTAAGGATCCTTCAGGTGTGGACAATCAGGTTGCTTAATAGCCCCTCCTTTCTCCAGCCTTTTCTGTGAGCGTCTGGTAAAATAAAAAGTAGGAAGAAAAAGCTTATTACACACACAAGAGTGTGAAAACATTTCAATGCCTTCTCAAGGCATCTTTTAAAATCTAGGATGAACTACTAACTTTAGTGGACACAGTGTTGCTGCACTTTGGCAATGAGAACAGCATAGGGCCAGCCTATTGCAAGTCAGACACAATGAAACCCTCCCAGAAACTCATGACTCCTTGGGAAAGTTGATATGAGAAATTCTTTCACTGATGAAAATGTAGTGCCTTCGCTTCTATGGATACAAACCAATCAGGGCTATATAGCTGTACTTTACCTTAGCAGGGGCATTAAACTGCCCCTCAAGGTCTCTTCTAAACCTATGATTTATCATATGGATATAACAAGGATGCTTGATGCCTAAATTGTATGTTGTAGTGTTTAACTGCTTGTTTGATCTGCAGGGAACTGCACTACCAGATTTTCTAACAACTCTCTGCTCTTGATGTACAATTGTATTTGCCGGTCAATCCCTTGGGGATTTTTTCTCCAACTCCTTTACTTGGTCCCTCCAGTATATTTTTGGGGAACCTTGCACTTTAACCTCCTTAATCCAGGGTATATTTACACATGTGATTTGTATATTTACTGCAAATTAAAATGTTCTCACTATGTATTTATAACAAATGGAGATTTACTTCTGGAAATCAAGAATGCACTGGAGTGTAAAACTAGTTTACACTCTAAATGTTGTGCCAATTTGTTGGAATGGCTTAGTTTTCAAGAATGATCTGCTCTTGATGTAATTGTATTTGCGAGTCAACCCCTTGGGGATTTTTTTTCTCCAACTCCTTTACTTGGTCCCCCCAGTATATTTTTGGGGAACCTTGCACTTTAATCTCCTTAATCCAGGGTATATTTACACATGTGATTTGTATATTTACTGCAAATTAAAATGTTCTCACTATGTATTTATAACAAATGGAGATTTACTTCTGGAAATCAAGAATGCACTGGAGTGTAAAACTAGTTTACACTCTAAATGTTGTGCCAATTTGTTGGAATGGCTTAGTTTTCAAGAATGATAGCTATGTTAAAATTTATTAAAGCAGATTCATGGGTCCCACTATTGCATAATGGGGTATAATGTAGCATCTAATAATATCTTGGAGGGGAGGGGGGGTATTGCGCTTCTCACCATATCTTGAGTTTCTCACAGCTTCTAAACTTTCTACACAAAATAAGTAGAAGCAAGGGGGCAGATCCTTGATTGATTGTCATAGCTCTACTGAAGTTAATGGTGTTGTAACACTTTATTCCCTAAGGATTTGCTCCATTTTTAAATGAAGCAGCTTTTGGAATGGTGGAGACATGCCATTTACAAGCTGGGGGTATATTTCTCTAGCTCTTCCATGATTTTATCTCTACATCTTTATTTGTGATGCTAATTTACTTCAGTCATCCTGGGATTGCTGGCAGTTGTGGTGCATCTGCTAGAAGCATTGTTTTAAAGTGAAAAGGTAGCTTGCAGGAATCTGACCATCAGAAAATAATCTGTTTAATTTAGAAATTAAATCTTAATCAGTCTGGTGCAATGCCTTTCTCATAAAATGTTGACCTGGCAGCAGCAAGTGCATGGTCCCTATAGGTCATGGAATCTAACCATAATTTGATATTAATCCTGCAGGGAATTAACTTTGCTAAGGGCAATATTAAGAGTTTATCTTCCTGCTCCCCCATTAACCACCATGATTTATTCTTGCTTTGTGCCCTGGTTATTCTGGACTTGACCAAAAGTCTGTTGAATCCATAGAAAACCGTCCTTCCATGTGTTTTGTTTGAAACCCTTATGTCCATTTGAAGAGCAAGATCTGAAATTTCTGTTGACTTCCCTGAGTATTAAGGGCACAGGGCTCAGATGCTGTGTCGCTGCAGGCTCTGTGTCCTTAATACCTGGATATTAGAAACTAGGGCCCTTTTTATCCCAACGATCTTATTATTGTATTGTGTAAATTACTTTAATAAAAACCTCAGGTGAGTTGGTTATGCTGTTGATATATATCTGCTGGCCCACCAGGATTACCTGTTTAGCCCTAGGAACAAGGCACTGTTCCTACTGTTATAACAACCAAGCTGAGCTAAATCTCGGGGGCGGGGGAGCTGAAGATTTTTAGCCTTCTGCCCTGAGGGACGCTGAGTTTGGCAGTCAGCGAAAACTGCAGCCGGGCAGGAAGGCGAAAGGAGAAGGTAGCGATCGCTGCCTCCCCCTGCCGCAGCAAGTGCATCCAGCTGCGATGAAAGGAGAGTCTGTAGCTAGGGCTGGGGCTTCCCCGCAGAGTCATGCGGAACGTGAGGGACGTGCCTGCACCCGGCAGCCCACACCTCTCCCTGCGTTTTGCCTTTTGTGTCTCAGCCCGGAGTCCGAGAGGGTGTGTTTGCCCAAATCTGTTCGTGCCCCCTTTTCACTGATCGATATTAAATATAAACATTTTTTACTATCAAAACAAGCTCCCGGTCTGTATATTTTGTTTCCTTCCTATTTAGTCATGGAGAAACTCCATGGGCCTAGAACTTGGTTACAAAGAAAAGCCAAAACATCTTTAAACAGTGCCAGATCTCAGTGAAATCTTTGCGTTTGGATTTCGCCCCTTCATGGGGAGGAAGCTGTCCCCTGCATTCCTATTTAGGGTCCACACCATATACAGGGAAATGATCCATTGGTACCAGGTGTGTATAATCCACGTGCTATTTAGAGTATTTTCCAAGACGTTTCAGTGGCCTGTCCTTTAAACGGTGTAGTTGCAAAGCAGCATTAATTCCCCCTATATGAATAGGAGAGCTCTGCCTTTAGAGGTGGGAAGAATTGTATCTACGACTGAGCAATACAGGCGTGTTCTATACCTGGTGTATAATATGCCCGCCCGGTGTTGGTGAGAGGGGATTGCATAGAGCTGCGTGGGACGCTAGCCAGACCTGCATGCACCCTGCCTGCCAGGGCGCGAGCTTTACAAGGACTCCGAGTCGCGTGGCGGGCATTGATTTTTACCGGGTTGTCTCCCGAATGGAAAGAAGAGTCTTTTGTCCGGGGGTTGCTTGTGGATTCCGGCGGGTGGCTGCAGCCGGGCGACGTCTCCAATGCCCGCTGCTCCCTGCAGGGTTGGAGAGTGAAAGCATTTCCCCCGCCCCCGCTTGTGAGGGGCGGACTGTGCATGACGCAGGGTTTGCCGGCCGGTCTTTTCGTAGAAATAGCTGCGGCGAGGTGGGAGCCGGGGCAGTCACACGCGAGAGGCAGGAGGTGGAAGAAGGCTCCTGGGAACCCTTTTAGCCGGCACCTTCCCCCAGCGGCTCCTGCACAGGGAGGCCCCGGGGAAATTCCGCAGTAGAGGAGCATTCCAAGCGGGCTGACCGGCCAGAGCCGGGCTCTCCCTCCCGTGGAACACGTGCAGCCTGCGGCCACTGGCGCTGCGTTTTGTGCCCCTCTCGCTGCTGGGCCCGAGGCCGTTCCCAGCCCTGCCCCTGACTTGGCAATAGCTGCGTTTTAAGAAGCGTTAAGAGACTAAAGCATCAAGTGCTGCAGCGTCCGCTGGTAAAAAAAAGCCCCTTCTTTTCTTTCCCGTGCATATACCCACTAAGGCGGACCCGGAGCGCAACCCGACCTTGGTTGTAAAAATGCCCATGGAGCTGACGCAAAGCCGGATCCAGAAGATTTGGCTCCCCAATGATAACTTCCCTGCGCTGCCCCGCAGATGTGAGTATAGCGTAGCCCGGAGGGAACGGGGGGAAGGGCGGGCGTAGATGCGAGTGTAGTAGTGCGGACCTGGGTGCAGATGTGTGGGAAGGGGCAGGAATAAGCCGCAGGGTTTCCCGCACTGCAGAGCACGTCGCTGGGCGCTAAACATACACCATAGCCCACCCGGCTGGGGTATTTCACACGTGGTGGCTGCGTGTCCTGGCGCGGGGTGCCGCGAGTTGGGGGGTGTGTGTCCCTCTCGCCTAGGGGTGGGGGAGGGCGAACCCCTTGTTGGAAGGAGCCGTCCTGCGTGCCACGGATTTATCCCTTTGGGCGACCCTCCTCCAGTGTCTCGGATTTGAAAACTGACCAGGAGCGTTGCTGGCTTGCAACTGGCCACTTCGGACGGCTGCATTGGGCACTAGAAGAGACGCCAGGCCCAGGGAAACTGGGGCGCCCCATCTTTGTCAGGAGGCTTTTCCCGGGAGGCCAACCCACCGAGCGCACGGGTGGTTGGGAGGAACATACTCCCACGTCTGCGCTTAAGTACCTTGAGCTGGGCATGGGGAGGGCCCCTTGTATGCGGTGAGCCGGCGCCCCTGAGTTCAGTGCTTCCGGGCTGGCTAGGGCCGGGGGCAGGATGTCTGCGAAGGCCATGTGTGTGACCTGAAATGCTCTCTAGCCCCGTCTAGCCGCAGCGCCTCCCCGGGCTGCGCGCATGGCTGGAGGCGGTGCCGCTCACTGCTGCCGGCTCGTGTGACTGACTCCTCCAGTCCATGCGGCTGCGGAAAGAGGCTGGAGGTGATGATGGATTTGCCGCATCCAACTGTGCATGCTCCGAGGCCGGGCCCCGGAAGGGAGGCCCGATCCACTGCAGCCTCCTCCTTCCCATCCTCCATCCCGGGGCTGCGTTAGACACGGGACCGGGGCACTGTGGTGACGCTGGCTGAGGTGTCTCTCCCCTGGTGCAGAATTGAAGAGTCCCCCATTGGTTTTAAGCACAACGTTTGTAGCATTCCTCGCTCTCTTTGCCTCTCCCCCCCCCCCCACGGGACCGGGGCACTGTGGTGACGCTGGCTGAGGTGTCTCTCCCCTGGTGCAGAATTGAAGAGTCCCCCATTGGTTTTAAGCACAACGTTTGTAGCATTCCTCGCTCTCTTTGCCTCTCCTTCCCCCCCCCTCGCTTTTTTGGCTTTTTATCAGGGATCCATGTGGATCCAATAATTCACTTTTAGCTCTGCCAGCAAGAGGCAACTTGCGGTGGCTGGGTGCTGCTGGAGTGGTGGGTCACGTGGCCATTTGCCTTCATCTAGCTTTGGATAGGCTCCTTTAGTCCAGAGACACTGGAAGGACAAGCCTCCCCCATCCCGGGATACTAATGCTGATTTCTCTAACACACTTTCAGAGCCCCTCACGTCTTGATGTAAATACGACCGAATTTTTTAAAAGTGCATGTAGGATGACAGAGGAGTGATAGATCAGGCTCACACTGTTAACCCATTCACTCAGGTTTTATTTCGGCTGTGGCTGGCAAAAGCCTGATTCTGCTTGGAGTTTTCCTATCCACTTCAGTGAGAGTAGGCTGAGTGCTTGAAATCTCTCGCTCGCCCTTTGCCTTCCATGTTCAACATGAGCTGCATAAGTGACTTGACTTTAACAGACGGGTTGTGATCCCTTAGGAGAGAGATGAAAGGGGTCAGCAGAGTGAATAATGAAGTTAACACTGAAACAGCTTCATACATTGGCAAGAACGGGAAAGCCTCCATAGCCTAAAAATTGAACCACAAAACGCGGGAGTCATATAGGTGTTACTGTTCAGGAGTTGGTCAACTTACTTGTAAGCAAAGCTGTAAAGACGCAAGTCAGGGAACTGTAACAATTCCTAAATAAGCATGTTAGAGACCTTTGTAAAATACTACTCTTTTGAGGTGAGGGTTGCATATATTCTGCACTCTAGGAATATACAGCAGTAATTTGGGAAGTTAGAGACACTAGTCTTGTCTTTTAACTAAGCTTTATCATTTTAAAGTAGCTTGCGCATTTGTGTCCCTGGACCAGAAATACTGCACCTTTTAAAAGCTGGAATCAAAAACCAGACATTGACTATGCTGGCTTTCTTGACTCTGAAATATGTAATTGTGTGTGTTGAATGCCAATACGATTTTACAACAGATAAGGAAAACAAATGTGGTCTCTGCCTGATTCTTTGGTCTCATTTACTTTGGTTGGCAAATCCATTAGGAAATTTTATCGGAGGGAGAAACTATACCAGTGTTGCCAAAGCATAAGAAAAAGTCAGACCTGTTGTATTTCTCCCAGATTTGGTACAATCTCCCAGAACAGGGCTACGTGAGGAGTTTGATGCTGCCTCCTGTGTTCCTTTGTCAGGCAGATGTGTAGATTAAATG